TGTAATAAGAACTTCCCGTTCGTTTAAACTCCCGCTAAAAAAGGGAAACAAATTTTTTAACGCCGACCGGTTTACGAGCTTCCCCCGCGCGATTTTAGCTACGAGTAAAGAAGCTCCGATTCGTCATAAACCTGTAAATCCTTAGCCGGTTGCGAGACGCGGAGGAAGGAGAAGGAAAGACAATTATCCCCGGCACTTTCTAAAATCTTTCGTCCATGAATCGCATTAAAAAAGTTTGTTTGTTCCGTTCGAACGATGGTCGATGCGAAAGATTGTGGAGAGGGAGAGGGGGGCAGAGAGGAAATGGGAGAAAAAGAAACCCAACGTCCAGGGACAGTGGAAAAAGTTTGGAACGTTCCCGAACGCTGTCGCGAAGTTTTCCGCAGGCGGGTGAAGCGTACCAATTAACATGCAGACGCGAAACTTAAGGAACTCCGGCAACTGCATAAAATTTGCATCTACACGGGGAATTACAAGCGAGCTTCGAACCGGCGACTGCATGGTAAACGCGTGTATTGTTTGCGAGCGAGCGCGCGCGCGCGGCTGACGCAAACAGCCGGAAGCTCGATGAATTGTCGAATCGCGTTAGGCGATCCTGACGATCGCTGAGCGAGTTAGAAGCTGCGACGAGAAAACGTCGCGTCACGTAGCAACGATAAATTATCCACGAACGAGCAGTGTGATTGCTATTAGCAAGGCGCGACGACGAGGCTCGCAATTATGGCCGGTGGTTCGTTACCGTTAGAACCGCGAATAATTGGACGAATTTGCGGATCAGTAGAGCGGATGCTTGCAAGGCATTAAACTGGCTTCACGGCATTTCCGTCATCGTGGACGAATACTTCGCATCGCGGCCGTCGTTATAATATTAATTCGTCTCCTCGTGGGTCGCGTCTTGGAACAATTTACGGGGCTGATGCATCGTAATTGGCTTGCAATCGGGACGTAACCGCGTGGCCAATTACCGCGGCTTCGCAAATCCGTTTACGGGTGAATATGCCGCTAATTGAAGTGCCTGCGCGTCGCTTCGTCTTCGTGTCTTTCGTGAATGGAGAATAGAGGAAGAAATTATCGTGGAGAATTTGATCGTGGCACTGTAATAAATGACGCGATACTATAATAATGGAAATTGATCAGGCTCGTCGATAGCCTGGAGATAAGGAAGATTTGTGACGGCGACGCGTTTTCGAGGCTTCATTGCAACGTTTAATGCTTTTTATCGTGATCTTTGCAAAGCGTAAATGTCGCTTCGTGTAACGATTCCAGGCGATAAATCTCATTTTCGCGTCATATCGCGATTGTTCGAACGTCCGCATACATTTTGCCGGCGGTCGTCAGGGAGGGAAAAATAATGGCCATAAATCCACGCGAACGGAAGCGGGAGGATGAGGCGAATAGGTCAGCATAGAAAAGTAATTAGCAATAAATCCTCGTGGTCTGAGTACACCGCGTTCCGTTTTCTTTATGCGCCGCTGGATAACGCATAGTACGGTTTTCGCTGGAACGTGAAACGCACCGACGAAGATGAATGTGCTCCGGAGGAGGTTGGACAAAGAAAAAGGGAAACAGAGGAAAAAGGGGACGAAGCACGCGAGAAGAAAAATCGCGACACGTCGGTATGCATTCAACTACCCTGCCATTACCTTAACGCCACATCTTCATATCTTCAGTGGGGAAAAAAGTCTACTCTTTAGCCCCACGATCTCGACTTAAAATTTCATTAAGGGATATTAATAACAGCTAGAATATCATCGCGGAAAATATGTATCGCCATGGCTGACCAGCCGCGTCCTTTTCCACTGGCGAATATTCCCTGGCATTCTGATGACGTTCCCTTTGTTCCCTCCGGCGAATAAAGGTAGCTTTTTCCGTCGATATGGTAAAGGGAATTTCGATCTTTTATCTTCGCGGAATTGGTATGAAATTCGACGGAAATAGCGCGAAAGAAAGATTAAATATCAAAGAGGATTTATATCGAACGTATCGTATCTCCTTAACAGGAACCGTGTGTTTGCGCTAGAGAAATAACGGCCTAACACGTACAGTTGAATAAAGGGAATTGCTCTGCTCGAATATATTCGTCGTCTACCGTGTAATACGTAAAGATTTATCAAGCTCGACTCAGCATCCGCTGCGAGTTCCTGCGATGCATTCACATGCCGCACAGACTCGCTCGGTGACTGAACACGAATGTTATTGAGTCCATGATCGTTCACGTTGATTTTCTATCCCCGCGAATCCCTTTCCGATCGAAGGATACGTTTCCTGTCAACGGAAACCCATCGGCGAATCATTCAAACGCACTATTTAAACGCGTATTCTATCGCCACTTCGTTCGTTAAATTAAATCAGGAAAGGGAACTCTCGAAACGACTTCCCGACATTTATTCCGATTACAGTCCCGGTATTCTATCTCTCGCGACCCAATTATTTCAGAGAATCCTTCAACTTTGCCACCGCCAAAGACTATCGTTCGATCGGGAAAATCAGCTCGATCTTCTTCCAACTTTCTTATCCACCGCACGTTCGATCAGAAATCGGGATTTTCCTTAAAATTTCGCTGGAAAGTTTGCAAGTTAGCCATTCCGTTTGACGATGTAACGTAACTAGTTCGGATTGCGCCTGCAGCGATTCGCGAACGGGGCCAGGTGTTAAAGAGAAGACCACCAAGTATCGAACGATAATTAACGCTCGTCATGGAGATGAAACGGATGCCACGCGCGCGATTCATAGGCGAGGAAAATAGTAATGGAGGACGAGAGAGCGAGAGAGGAGAAGAGTAATAACGTTACACAGCGTGCACGTGTGCACTCGGTGGCGGCCATTGGCGCAGAACAGTCGCCAGGATAAATTCATTCGTTATTTCCGGCTCGATTGTGCCTGGCTCGGTCAAAAGCTGCAGCCGGAATTAGCTGACCGGAAACTGGCCCTCCGTAACGCGAGCCACGCCACCGAAAAATTTCAGCTGCCGTGGGAACGGCCGTTTAATCGCGGAACGCGAGAACAATAATTACTCTCCCCCTGCGTGTTTTTCTTTTTCTGCTGCTGCGAACCCGTCGGCCAGGCGGTTTGATTAATGGAAATTCGGGAACCTCGCGATTCGTCGGTGCGTGGAAATTTCTGGACGCTGTAAATCGTTGATTAATCGCGTCTTACTCACGTCATTTCGGAACGAGGACAAATGGGGGCGAATGTGACGGTGCAGAAACGAGTATGCCAATGTTTATTAGCGACCTCGTGTTAACGAAGTTCTAGCTACGATATTCGGCTGAAATCTAGAGGGTTAAACAGATTTGAGTCGCTGACGATGTTTCGAATGAAATTAGCGTGGAAAGTTGTTTCATTACGGCGTATGATATACGGCGGAGGAAGGGAAAGCGGCACACGGTTGGTCAGACGAAACATCGCTGTATTATTTATTCGGATATGCCATGCGTTAGGATAGCTCGCTGCGTAAGTAGAATAACACGATACGCGATCAGACAACTGGAATACCATTATAACGAAGCTGGACTAACTAAACGCCACGACGTTGAAATACTATTTTGCCGTGGGATGGAAATACGTTTAACACGTGTCCGGCTATATTCCTTTCGTCGAATATCGAGCCTTTTAATCGCTTTTAGCGAACGTGTCGATTCTCGTGACGATCGTTCGGAATCGATATCCATAGAATTATTCGCGAATGCTATCAATCTTGACGCGTTAAAATGCGCCTTTCACGTTCGGAAAAATTATCGAATCTCGCGGCAAATGATCGGCGTGCCACAATGAAATCCGAGTGTCACTTCTAAGCGTGAACAATGAACGAAATATCGGCCGATATAACGGCGATGGTTGGGTGGCCTTCGAATCCGATTGATTCCTCCAACGAATATCCATTCCGTCGTGTGCGTGGCAGAGTATATCGCGGCGGAACGAGTGGGACAAAAGACCTTTCGCATGGAAATGAATCGCGATCGAGGCCGAAGTGGCTCTCGTTCATCGACAGACAGCCGCATAGCCTGGGTAATAATTCTGAAAAATTGTTCCGTTCCCTGAGCTCAGTCTGAGATTTCAGCGCATAAATCGTGCTCGTTCCTGGATTCCACGTGATATATCGGTGTTTGCAAGTGTTCCCTGAGAGGCATTAGGATCGTATATTCTCCGACTATTGATACAGAATGGCTTTTCCGTTCGGGGTTGCCTGTACTTTACGATGTATTTCCACCGTTTTTTATTTCCCATTTTTGTTTTTCCTCCTTTCTTTTTGCCCCCATACCGGTCCCTCGTATCGACGATTTTATGCTGCGCGTCGTAATCGAATTCCTTGGACGTTTCCTCGCAGAAATTTTTTATCGCCAGACTGGCAGATTAATTTTTTTACAAAAGCGACATTCACCGTCTCGATCGATCCTCGTGAGCGACAAAGTTTCATCAAAGCTCAGCGCGGTCCACACCTAATTATGTTTCCATCAATAAAGCGTTCGCGCCAGTCTAAGCGACTGCCGCAAGAAAGTTCGTTAAAGTCTTTAAAAAAGTCGCATTAACGTTGACGTCGGGAACCTGCATAACTAACCGCGCAGGGAACGTGAAATTAGTTTTATCTTCGTTATGCAACGACCGAACTTATTAACCTACCACAGGCGGCAAATCGATCGAAAGCCGCGATAAAGCTTGCCCGATTCTTCGCACACCAATGGCCACCGCCGCCATTTTTATCAATTCCACGGATCGAGTATGGTATCGCGATCATCGTGGATACCGGTGTACGAATAGCGATAGCCATGAAACAATACGTGCCAGTCGGTTTTACGATCGCGCCATTCAATTTCCACGATCGCATGCAATCGAATAGAAGCCGGGGTACGCGTTTGATAAGAAGCTTTTCAGGTGGTGCGGTCGTAATTGGAGCATTGGCCGTAGCGCAACCGGCTAACTATGCATAGTGTTAGTTTCCCGCGTCGCGGTCGCCAATGGTTGGATCCAATTTAATGTTCCGCTCGCTCCTTGGATTTCAGATCTGGACACGATGTTATATGGATACACGAACAACATATACGTGCTGGACCACACTCCTGAATCGCTGTCGGTGAGTACGATCCCGAACAAGCCAGTTAGTCGCGGCTGTTACCGGGCGCCCTGTTCCCTCGTGCTCGCTCGTTTAAGTCGATTGCCGCGATCATAATTGCATGCCACGTTTCACGGCTACGAAATTAATGCGGTTGTTAAACTAGCATTCCTCGGGGAAGCATTGCATAACGCTCTAACGCGAATTTTTAACGAAAGATCGTATCGATCGGTCGATAAGACGTTAGATGTCTGTCAGTTCGACATCGATTTTACGAGTCGAAACTGTGAGAAACGTAGCTTTGTAAGATGGCGGATAAAATGGGAGCCTTTTGTTCGACCTAAACGAGTTATCGGGGGTTATAGAAATTGTTCCTTGGGTTTAACGATGGAAACGACAATGGTCCTCCACGCGATGGCAGAAACAATGTAGTCATCTTTCGATTCGCGTTCGTTTGTCGCGGAACGCGGCCGGAAAATTGAACTGGCGGCCGATTCGCCGGGAATTTAATTAAATTCCACGATAGCGGATCGTTCGACTTTGTTTCCAATTAAAACTCGCAGCCGCGTGTTTTGATTAACAGTCGAATTTAATAATAATCGTGCTCCGTGCACGAGGGTGGCCGAGGCAGACGGGAAAATTTCTCGGGACAGCCGACCGGGCGATTCACGCCGGTGAAACAACGAAATGCGCAAATTTCGTGGATAAATTGAATCGATACGCGCTGTAATATTAACGAGGTGTGAATCGCTCGTTCTCTTTGTCTCGGATAACGATGGAGGAAATCAGGTGAATATACAGAGAGAATTTGTATCGCTGTCATAATCGTATAGGTGCTGAAAATTCGTAGCAATGGCACCGAGAGATCTTCCAGTAGTGATTACACTGTTCAACGCGAATTGGTATAATTCTTGTAGGGCCAAAACATAACAGTTTACAGGAAGAAAGAAATTACAATTTTGCTATAGAACTTTGATAAATTACAGAAGTTCGAAAGGAACTTTGAAAATTTACAATAGATCGCAAATTTCTTAAACATTGTGCGTAGCTCTTAGCTTGGTATCGTTTCCCAAAAATTATTCTTTGGAAAACGATACCAATTACCAGGTCTCACCACGTGGAGGTGGCTACGCATCGAAACCCGACATGCGCCCTAGTGGCGCAGCCTGCTGGCGCTATCTGTATCAAAGGTACCCTAATCTAACTTGAAGCGAATTAAGTTAAAATGACTTTACTGACACTTTATTATATTTCGTGCCTTACAAAAGGGGTTTCGGTTCGATGTACTGAAACTCTACTGTCGCAACGCTAAGATATTTTCAAGTTCCCATAAAAATAGGGAATGAAATATCAAACACGCGAGCTAATAGAAAATCGCGACGCGCCCGAACGAGTTCGCGATTATTCGAAAGACCGACTAGCCTAGGCGATGTACTCCCGTGTACAGAGATAACTTCATACCTCGGC